CTATGTCAGCCAATTCGAAGTCTTTAATGTCTTAACGACATATTGCTGTTTTCTTGGATATCCATGACTTTGTCTGAGAGCAACATAGCTCAGACTTTAGTTCCGTTAATCTGGTGGAGGGAATGTGTTGAAAGGAAGATCCCTACTCAACAACATAAACATTTAAACCACGCGTCACGTCACACATGAGCAGAAAAGCAATGGAGATCACTTGTGAATGCCTTATGTGTCAACAGCAACATGAAGAGAATATAGAATATATATATTAGAGCATATATGTATATTAAACAAGCATCTAAGTTTAAATATCTTGAACAACATTCACTGAAGATGGTAAATTGGATGAAGAAATTGGCATCCGATGCAGTAAAGCAGGCCAAGTATTGTGACAGCTAGCCACCCTCTTACAGCATAAGACAATCCCAGTTAGCACAGAGAAACATCTCAAACAAGGCATATTCATTCCCACCTTACGCTATCAGCGCCAAACGTGGTCACACAACAAAACACAAAAGACAATTAGTAACCATGGCAATAAGGTGTCTGAGAAAGACTGTAGGAGTGACCAGAAGAGAAAAAAAAATAAGAAATGAGGTCATATGAGATAAAAGTCGGCACAGAACCAATTCTAAATTACACAAAACGACAGCAAATCAAATGGTTTGCTAACTTGGAGAGAATGCCTTCTGATGCTTTACCGTTCAAGGCATATACACAAAGAAGAGAAGGACTAGAGCAAGAGGAAGACCAAGAACAACATGGAAAGAGAAACTCTACAGAACTATATTGTGTCAATGGTTAAAGCAGCCAGAAGAGCACGAAGCAGGACTTTATATCTCGCTCGACACCCGAAGCGGTAAAAGAGGATGAACGAAGAAGAAGAAGAAGAAGAAGAAGAAGAAGAAGAAGAAGAAGAAGAAGAAGAAGAAGAAGAAGAAGAAGAAGAAGAAGAAGAAGAAGAAGAAGAAGAAGAAGAAGAAGAAGAAGAAGAAGAAAAAGAAACAGAAGAAAAAGAAAAAGAAAAAGAAGAAACAAAAGAAGAAGAAGAGGAAGAAGAAGAAGAAGAAGAAGAAGAAGAAGAAGAAGAAGAAGAAGAAGAAGAAGAAGAAGAAGAAGAAGAAGAAGAAGAAGAAGAAGAAGAAGAAGAAGAAGAAGAAACAGAAGAAAAAGAAAAAAAGAAAAAGAAGAAACAAAAGAAGAAGAAGAAGAAGAAGAAGAAAAAAGAAATAAGAAGAAGAAGAAGAAGAAGAAGAAGAAGAAGAAAGAAGAAGAAGAAGAAGAAGAAAGAAGAAGAAGAAGAAGAAGAAGAAGAAGAAGAAGAGAAGAAGAAGAAGAAGAAGAAGAAGAAGAAGAAGAAGAAGAAGAAAAAAAGAAGAAAGAAGAAGAAGAAGAAGAAGAAGAAGAAGAAGAAAGAAGAAGAGAAGAAGAAGAAGAAGAAGAAGAAGAAGAAGAAGAAAAAGAAGAAGAAGAAACAGAAAAAGAAGAAGAAGAATGAAATAGTTTGCACACCGAGAATTGCACACCAGAAACGTTTATTCAACATGAACATAGTTTTCTGTATACAGCATCAACGGCCGTAGATGACGTCAGACGTTCTTGGCTCTGCTGAGAGAAAAATGGCGGGGGTGCTGGCCGCCTGGTCAATCTCTTTTCCTGTTGCAAAGTAGTTGTTGTGATCTAGATCATAGCAAGGCTTTGAAACAACCTCACATCACGCTCGCTATTATCAGGTAATGTGTGGAAGAATAGACCCGCTGCTCCCTAATTAGCATGTCGTAAAAGGTGCCTGAACTGCCAGAATAACTAACAATGAATGATTGACTGGAAATGGCTAATCAAAGTAGAACATTATATACAACAATGAAAAGGAGACAGACAAAGTTCTTTGGTCATGTAATGAGAAAAGAAGCATTGGAAAGTATCGTGACGACTGGAAAGATCATTGGTAGAAGATGCAGAGGCAGACTAAGAGAAATGATGGTGGATGACTTAAGACAGTGGAATGGAGGAATATCATCAGTGGAATTGATCCAGAACACCAAAGAATGAGATCTGTGAAGATGCATGAACGCCTGCGACAGCTGGCAAAGCACTCGAGGATGATGATGATGATGATGAAAACGCGCCTAATTATGGATATTTAGTTGAATACTTCAAAGTCGGTATCTGTTTCTTAGCTGTTGCAAACACGCTTCACAATTACGAGGTATTCGTTCGATTTTAGCTGCGGAGGATTCGGCAGCAGACTGCTTTGTGTTGATTTCGACTCGCTGGCAGTATGGAGAGCCCAGTGTTTAGCAGCGATGGCAAACTACTGAACGTAAAATTGTCTAGTAAAACCAGTCAAGGAATGCTGGGGTTGGTTCTGCAAGTCCCGATTAAGTACATAAACTAACTTTTAACCGAAACGTCGCAGAGCATCTGCCTGAGAAGCGAGGAACCAACAGCAGTGTTAAAATATATCCACCATAATCATTAGTACTGAAATCTGCAGATACCTCCAGTACATTCAAGCGTTAGGGCCGCGGAAGTACAATTCGCAAGCACCCTCGACGCCACACACGTTATCAACATCATCATCATCATTGTAAACGATTTTTTTTTTCTGTTAAGCGCCTTGGGGATGAATAATTTGCGATCCAGTGCAGGCTGGCTGGCACTGGCTATTGTCATGCCGCGAAAGCGTAAAGTGTCTTTAATGTTGTCGACTATTTATCGTGGCCGCCCTCTTGCTGTTGTAGTTGATATTCTGAGATGTAATGCATATGATGGTATTTGAGGTTGCTGCATTCAAACGATATGATCAAACCACTTGATCTGCTATTTCTCATTTAATTGAGTACAAGTTGTTGACACGATCTGTCGGATAGTTTCATTATTTACTCGATCTCGGATGGTTATGTTGACGGATTTTCTCGGGCATCTCATCTCGCAGGACGTGATTTTGCGTACATGGGCTCCCACTATCGGTGGAAATCAACTAGGAGCATTTACAAACTTGGGCTCTCCTAGCAGATTTGGCCGGTAAGCTGCACTGCTTCGACTGCTTCGGCCGGCTTAGCGGGACTTAGTGGGAATTATGTCCCCGTGGCCGCACTCAAAACATCGAGCGGAAAAAGTCACGAATCAAATGGCATACTTACCTATCATCATCCGGGTGCGTGTAGGGTTGCGTAGGATGTCTATCATCGTCCTACGGTTGCGTGTAGGGCTGCTTATTGCATGTAGGTTGGTTGTTTGCGTAAGATGAGGGGTAGGGTTAAGGGTTAGGGGTTAGGGTTTAGGGTTCAGGGTTAGGGTCTAGGGGTTAGAGTTTAGGGTTAGGGTTTAGGGTTAGGGTTGGGGTTTAGGGTTATGGTTTAGGTTTAGGGTTAGGGTTTAGGGTTAGGGTTTACGGTTAGAGTTAGGGTTTAGGGTTAGGGTTAGGGTTAGGGGTTAGAGTTAGGGGTAGGGTTAGGTGCAGCGTTAGATGTGACAATTGTGACGTTGTAGTTCCCTATAATCGCGCACAGTCGCATGCACACGCAAACAGTCGACGGACGGTGGATGCTACTGACACGGACAATTCGCCACCGATTGGGCACCAGCCGCCCGCTATTGGCGTCATATTTGGCAGAGTTTCAGTGGCGCCACTCCCACAAGCATTAGATTGTCGGCCACTATTTCGACCTCCTACGTGACAATTTTCACATCGAACCATAACCCTAACCCCTAACCCTAAACCCTAACCATAAATCCTAACCCTAAACCCTAAGCCTAACCCCTAACCCTAAACCCTAACCCTAAACCCTAACCCTAAACCCTAAACCATAACCCTATACCCTAACCCTAAACCCTAAACCCTAACCCTAACCCCTAACCCCACCCCTCATTTTACGCAAACAACCAACCTACACGCAATAAGCAGCCCTACATGCAACCGTAGGACGATGATAGACACCCTACGCAACCCTACACGCACCCGGATGATGATAGGTAAGTATGTCATTTGATTGGTGACTTTTTCCGCGACTGGTTTTGAGTTGTTTTGAGTTTGGCGAAGGGACGTAACTCCCACTCAGCCTCACTAAGCCGGCCGAAGCAGTTTAGCTTGCCGGCTAAATCTGCTAGGAGAGCCCAAACTTGACATGGTCTACCCTGTCGATGCAGTGTTATCATATGCACTAGGGAAAAATATTCATAAGCTAAATGTGGTGTGCTGGATATTTAGCACTAGAAAGAAGCCTTAAACATCAAAGAAGTAGACGTAAAGGTTACTCATGCAAGCGATGGAAAGACGGAACACCTGACACGACTCACACCAAGGTTAGCATCGAAAATCTTTTGAAATCGGACGCCGATCTGCAAAACAGAGACTCGAGAAAAGAAGTAAGTTATAAAAACAAAGTATGAGGATCGACTTCATTACATTGGGGTTTATCCTACATATCTGTGCAGAACGGCTAGCTGCTCGTCGAGTCGGACACACTAAGAATGAACTTTGCAACTCCAGCGACGATCCCGCGAAATCTGTGTAAAAATTACACTCGTGAACCTAACGAAGCAGTCGTGAAACGAACACAGGACCTTCTGAGCACGAGGCGGACGGTTTCATCACTTGGCCGCAGATACACCCGTAGAAGGTAAGAAGAAGATGATGAACTGAATGTAGATTGGTCTTTATTTAAATAAAGTAAACACCATATGTCCAATGCGTCTACAAAAGATGCGCTGTTAGCGTTAAGTGGTACCTTACTTTTTACCTTTTATTCTGCATGTACAGACCTTATGCCAGCACTTAACTACAACTGAACTGTGGCTGCACATACTGCTAGCACCGCCGCCAAGAGACCACCAGCATAATCCAGCCATCCGCATCCTCCCCAAGGAGAAGCGGACCTCAGCTTGCAGTGCCCGAATCCTGTTGACAGTTCCTGTGCTGCAACATTCATTGCCCAGACCGCCATTGTTTTTCTGCGGTATCGTCTGCGTTTCTGGTGCAATTCAACAAGTAGATTAAAATGAGCAAGACTTTCATACTGAAACGAAATACCTCCAGTGAGGAGAGAAGTGCGCTCCCAACAGCGGAATTACGGTAAGGGAAATGTTTGTATATTATTTGTTTCTTAGTATTCAGATGCAGAGAGAAAGAGAGAGAGAGAGAGAGAGAGAGAGAGAGAGAGAGAGAGAGAGAGAGAGAGAGAGAGAGAGAGAAAAGAGAGAGAGAGAGAGAGAGAGAGAGAGAGAGACTAAGTGAGAAGATGCCGGGCAGTTTTACATCACGGCATAACAGATCATCTGTGTCAGAATTCATTGAAAACATACAAGACAGAAGTTTGTGAAGTTGACATGATTATCAGGGCCACATGGAGTGAATCATTAGAAGTATGGATTGGAAAATACGATGAAACATGCGAAAACGACTGACAGCTCTATCTCTGATGTACTTACTACACACACACATGAGAAGAGAATGCGTAATACCAGCTCTCCTTCACACATAACTGACAGAAAATACCGTTATCACAGATCTCCTACATACATACACAAGAGCAGATAGGAAGTGATTTCTGTTTTCCCTTTTAAAAAGTATCGGCTCTGTGGCTAAGTCGATGCGAACGCTTCGTAATGCCGGGATGCCGGGTTCGATCCCAGCTGCGACCCATGTGCCCTGCGTTGGTTTCGACAGTGGTATCAAGAAAGCCGACCGTCCAGAGGCAATGGCAAACTACTGGACGTAACTTTGCCTAGAAAAACCACACAACAGCTAGGGGCTGTTGGGTTTGGTTCTGCAGCGTCCTGTTAAGGATTCGCAACTAACCGTTTAAAAACTGTGCGTGGCTGACCCCTGCTGTGACATCACACAGAAAAACACTTCGATCTGCCATCTGGTGTCGCTATTTATGTGGAGGGAACCAGCGCATTAGGCACCTACGCTGCAACAGATGGGGTAATCCCGGATTCATTGCGTTAATATTTATTTAGCACAGAGCCTAATTCCCAGCATTCGCTGATGTTGTTTTCCCCAGGTCGAGGTCACTGTCAAGAAACGGCGGCTATTACTATCCTTACGTGAAATCTGACTTCGGCTTTGATGTGAGTGTTTTCCATCCATCCATCCATCAATCCATCAATCCATCTATCCATCCATCCATTATCTGTCCATCTGTTTGTCTTTCTGCCTGTCTGTCTGCCTGCCTGCCTGCCTGTTTACACCCCTGTCTGTCTGTCTGTCTGTCTGTCTGTCTGTCTGTCTGTCTGTCTGTCTGTCTGTCTGTCTGTCTGTCTGTCTGTCTGTCTGTCTGTCTGTCTGTCTGTCTGTCGGTCGGTCGGTCGGTCTGTCTGTCTGCCTGTTTACACCCCTGTCTGTCTGTCTGTCTGTCTGTCTGTCTGTCTGTCTGTCTGTCTGTCTGTCTGTCTGTCTGTCTGTCTGTCTGTCTGTCTGTCTGTCTGTCTGTCTGTCTGTCTGTCTGTCTGTCTGCCTGTTTACGCCACTGTCTGTCTGTCTGTCTGTCTGTCTGTCTGTCTGTCTGTCTGTCTGTCTGTCTGTCTGTCTGTCTGTCTGTCTGTCTGTCTGTCTGTCTGTCTGCCTGCCTGCCTGTTTACGCCACTGTCTGTCTGCCTGCCTGTTTACATCACTGTCTGTCTGCCTGCCAGCCTGCCTGTTTACGCCCCTGTCTGTCTGTCTGTCTACTTACGCCCCTGTCTGTGTGTCTGTCTGCCTGCCTGTTTAAGCCACTGTCTGTCTGTCTGTTTACTTACGCCCCTGTCTGTCTGCCTGCCTGCCTGCCTGTTTACACCCCTGTCTGTCTGTCTGTCTGTCTGTCTGTCTGTCTGTTTACACCCATGTCTGTCTGTCTGTCTGTCTGTCTGTCTGTCTGCCTGCCTGCCTGTTTACGCCACTGTCTGTCTGTCTGTCTGTCTGTCTGTCTGTCTGTCTGTCTGTCTGTCTGTCTGTCTGTCTGTCTGTCTGTCTGTCTGTCTGTCTGTCTGTCTGTCTGTCTGTTTACGCCACTGTCTGCCTGCCTGCCTGTTTACAACACTGTCTGTCTGCCTGCCTGCCTGCCTGTTTACGCCCCTGTCTGTCTGTCTACTTACGCCCCTGTCTGTGTGTCTGTCTGCCTGCCTGCCTGTTTAAGCCAATGTCTGTCTGTCTGTTTACTTACGCCCCTGTCTGTCTGCCTGCCTGTCTGCCTGTTAACGCCCCTGCCTACCGTCCGATTTTTTTGGTTGGTCCGTCTGTGAGTCAAGATCCCACTTTATTACTACATCTATGCCACTATATTGTTGGCTTGTTTTAGTTAGGACAAACACCCCAACCAAAGCTATGCTTGAAATAAATGTCAATGTGGAAAATGTCATTACCTCACAAATATCCGCTAGAATATTAGAATAAACAGACGCACACAAGACGAAATTCTACATTTGTGTATTTTCTCCACGCAGGGATCGCCTCTACGCTGCCAGACCCATGACACTCCCAGGTGAGTCGGCTTTTCACTTTCTGTATGTTTATTGATAGATGAAATGTTACACGAATAGATAGACGAAATGTTACACGACGATCACAGGTGCCACAGTGTGCATGCCAGGTTGGACCACGAACAACTGAGCACGTTCTACTACGAAGACAATCCTGGCTTAATGAGCAAAGTGTGCAGAGCAATCTATGGGGAACCATGAAGGACGTGCAGCTGACATGCGACTTCATAGAGGCAACCTTCCTGATGGTCTGATCTGAGCATACGAAACCGAAGGCAAAGGAGAAGCAGAAGATATACTAATTTTTGCGAAACTAGATGGAACGACACAGACAAAACGATTATAAAAACCAGCGAAAGGTTTTGGACCCTCACTTTTACACACATAAAAGTACACACATTTCAGACAGCAAGGCTGCAATGGGTCGTTTCTTTAATTCCAGACCTATCTTTACAAAATGCAGGAATGTTTTCAACACAAGAACTGGTAGAGAAAGAGAGAGCTTCATGAGGAAAGAAGCTTTTTACTGTGGAATACATTAGCCCCATTTTAGGTGTGTAAATTGGCATAAGCGAGCTGATATTGCTGTTGACTTTCTATCACAGGAACAATTTATACTACCCAGCAACACAGGAGAACCACTCCAAAGAATATGCTGACCGAAAGCAGAATAAAAGGTATGCGATTGTTTCTGTCTGCTTGCTGGCATACAACAAGTGTTTCCTTGTAATAAATGCCAATTTTATGATGTTAACTGGTTAACTAACCCAGTAGTTCGAGCTCTTTATTGTCGTCTTCTTCTTCATTTCTCGTAGCCACACCTGCATGATGATATTGTTGATTCTTTCAATCGCAAATATTTGTCACTTGAACACGTCTTGCCCCATTGGTCTTATACTTTGTGTCCAATTCTGAGCACTATCGTTCGTTCGCTTTAGAAGTGGTGTATAATCCATAAAGTGTGGTTTTGGAAGTCGTGTCTGTTCCCTGCCATCTGTTTAGTGCACTTTCAGTCAGTTCTGACCGTTAGTCCTCCACGCCACGATGTCAACTGTCCAGGATCTGTTTCCCTCCAACTTTCTCATGGTCACAGTGTACTCCAGTTTTATCCTTCTCATTGCACAATACAGAAACAATTATTTTTAGGAAAAAAAAAAATAATAAACAAGCCAAACATAGGAGTTCAGATATTTACATATTGTACGGAGTATCAATAAAAGCAAGGCAATTGTGTGGACTGCATTTCAAAGCGGTAATTAAAACATAGTTAAGTCACAATTCATTATTACCAACTCACTTTAGAAGAACATTCGGCTAACACGAACATAGTTTTGGCCCCAGCAAATATTTACTGTTTGTCTCAGGAAAGCGTTAGTTTTTTAACACAAACTTGATATTTTGATCCTTTGAAATTTATGTTAAAGAGGTTTTTTACTGCAGTTTGTTCCCGTGAGAAGAAAGAATAGATCAGCCCCCCCCCCCGATCCCAAACAAGTTTGTCACGACTAATTGTGAATGTTTCTCCTAAAGTCGGAGGGCATCTGCCTGAGGGGCAGAAAACCAACAGTCAAAAAAGCCAAATCTGTAAAACAGATGTATGTGCACTAAAAACTCGTTTTCGATCAAGACTAAAGCCCAAGAACAATCAGAACTTTCCACCAGAGTTTACAGCCAGGGAACACGAACAAGAAGGGAAAGAAGAAGATGAAGAAGAGGAGAAGGGGGAGTCTATTTTAGTGTCAAGATCATGAATATTCCTACCCGATAAGTGTTTAGTGGAAAGAAGTTCGGTGATGCCTCGAAGTCACATCGTTTCCTTACGGCTCTACAAACACCGGCGTATCTCTATAACAAGTCAACAGATAGATTTGCACAGGTACGTGTGCATAAATCGGCATGCACCAATATGTGTACACAAATAGGTTTGCATACATGTCTGAACATTTAGTTATTGCCCATATTTATGCACGCATAGTTATGCATACATAAGAATGCACAGATATGTAAGCGCATATAGGCACGAAGAGGTGTGAATGCACGCTTGGGTTAGCATACCTTTTTTATCACTGATTAGTTATATGGAGAATGTGTGAGTGTATGTGTCTCTCTCTTGTTCTCTTTCTCTCTCTTACACACACACACACTCACACACACACACACAAACACACACACACACACACACACACACGGCACACACAGTTTATGGTCTTCTCGACTTTTTAAGATTTGTATGAATATTACTTAAAAATTGGTAGCAGTTGATGTATATGATATTTTTAAAGGTACACAAATTATCAGTTTAAAAAAAAAAAAAACGCTCTAAGAAAAGAGTAGCACCTGTGCAACTGCAACTTGTAAGATCTTGAGGACATGGGAAATTTAAGATAACATGCAAAAGTTCGCGTGGATCCGTACAGGAATTTTCGAGCTGTTTCTTAAAGTTAGAGGTCACAACTTTTGGAACGGATTATAGTAATTAACACCCTTTGAAGATAAACTACCCTCATGACTACTGTACCTACAGGTCTAGCTCGCAGCGCTACACCAGCCCCGACAATTACACTGTCAAACGGAATAGGAGGACCAGTCCCAGCCCGGCCAGTAAAGGCGACCTCAGGAGGAAGATGGTGTTTGTCCTTCATGATGAGATCAAAAAGTCGCCTTGCACCACAACCCTGGAGGAGATCACAGACTTGGATAAGTGAGGCTGGGTGTCTTGTGTTGTCCTTGACTCTTGTTTCTTTCGTAAGCTTTTATCAGTGTCCTCGACCTCATTGTTTGTCTTACAAGTGGCAGTTGGCGTTCGTCGTCATCTTTCGCCATTATGGCGTTCTTTTTAATATCACTCCCATCACAAATGGCTCACGATGACACCATGCCCCTGTCGTCTGTTATCAGGGTTTGACTTTTTGTTGTGTTGCTGACACACCGCTCATTGTCTGACTCACCGCTCATTGTCTGACTCACCGCTCATTGCCTGACTCACTGCTCATTGTCTGACTCACCGCTCATTGTCTGACTCACCGCTCATTGTCTGACTCATCGCTCATTGTCTGACTCGCCGCTCATTGCCTGACTCACTGCTCATTGTATGACTCACCGCTCATTGTTTGACTCACCGCTCATTGTATGACTCACCGCTCATTGTCTGACTCACCGCCCATTGTCTGACTCGCCGCTCATTGCCTGACTCACTGCTCATTGTATGGCTCACCGCTCATTGTTTGACTCACCGCTCATTGTATGACTCACCGCTCATTGTCTGACTCACCGCCCATTGTCTGACTCGCCGCTCATTGTCTGACTCGCCGCTCATTGCCTGACTCACTGCTCATTGTCTGACTCACCGCTCATTGCCTAACTCACTGCTCATTGTATGACTCACCGCTCATTGTCTGAATCACCGCTCATTGCCTGACTCACTGCTCATTGTATGACTCACCGCTCATTGCCTGACTCACTGCTCATTGTATGACTCACCGCCCATTGTCTGACTCGCCGCTCATTGCCTGACTCACCGCTCATTGTCTGACTCACTGCTCATTGTCTGACTCACCGCTCATTGCCTAACTCACTGCTCATTGTATGACTCGCCGCTCATTGTCTGACTCACCGCTCATTGTATGACTCACTGCTCATTTTCTGACTCAGCGATCATTGTCTGACTCATTTCTGATTGCTATGTCACCTCTAATGTCCTGTTCACCTCCCAATGTTCCACTCACCTCTTAATGTCCCTCTCTTAATGTCCAACTCACCTCTTTGTGTCCCACTCCTCTCTCAATGTCCCACTCGCCTGTTAATGACTCACTCACCTCTTATTGTCCCCTCACCTTCTTATGTCCTTTTCACCTCTCGCTGACTGACTACCCACTCACTGACTGACTACCCACTCACTGACTGACTACCCACTCACTGACTGACTACCAACTCACTGACTGACTACCCACTCACTTACTGACTACCCACTCACTTACTGACTCACGTATTGGCTGACTTCCCCCACTGACTCTTAGAAAACAAGAGGGGGAAAAAAAGGGGGGGGGGCGCGAAGCCGCGGAGGGTTGTAGAAACCAACAATAACTTTATAATTGCAGGGGACTCCAGCTTAGTTAATAGCACAATAATAGTTTAAGAAACAATTATTGTTGTTGGTGTTATAACAATAATAATAATCATTATTAATAATATTATTATTGCGTGCTGAAAGGTAAATCAAAGATATTTGAAATTATACGAAATATTTACATCAATGCTGAAATAGATAAGATATATGTGTAACATGGAGGTAGTCGGTGCGTCTACTCCTTACAATATTTTTTGGGAAGGGATCAGCTCTGTCTAAATGTTGTGTGTAGTTAGGGGAGGGAAGGGGGTCAAAGAACCTCAACTCCCATGTCCCGCTGCCTATGCTATAGCCAGCCTGCATTGTCGTATCTTTTATTGCCTCTTATAGCCCAGTGAATCATGTCTAGGACTGCCCAGACTACATCAATCCTTGCCAAGCAGCAAACATTGTGGAGATAAAAAAAAACATTTCATGCAAAACTAAGATTCGATTGCTCAGAGCACTAGCTATTAGTACATTTACCTATGGCTGTGAAACGTGGACCTTAACAGCTGAAATCGAAAAGAAGATACAAGCATTGGAAAGGCGATGCTTTAGAAAAAATCTTGGCATATCATACACAGAGACCAAATTACAAACGAGGAGGTTCGCCATATAATTATACAGCACACTGGCAACTATGAACCTGTTATGACTACAGTGAAAAGGCGAACAATGCAATGGTATGGATATGTAATAAGATCTAATAACTTCTGAAAAACAATACTGCAGGACTTAGTAAAGGGAAAGAGGAGAAGAGGCAGACCAAGAAAGACTTGGTTACAGAACCCGACTGGACAGGCCTCAGGCATGCAGCCGTGAAGTGCAACGCAAATGACCGTCGAAGGTGGAGAGAGCTGATCAGACAGTCAACAGAAACCGGTGACCCAACGACACGCAGTATTAAGGGATGATCAGGATGATGGTGATGATAGCCCAGTATATTGAATTTATTTTCTACAGAAACAAAGAATATCTTTCGTTGCCGCTATGCTATTTTCTGGGTTAAACCCCCCCCCCCCCCCCACCAAACAAAAGCAAAGTAGCAGTACACATCCAGATAAATGGGACAGGAATATTCAACATGGAAGAGAAAGGCGGCATACAACTGTCACTCTACATTGATAAAGAATTTCCACGAGACGAGTGGGTTCGAGGTTACAAAGATGGATCGTCGAAAATGCAGTTAGAAATGGAGGTGCGGAAGTGTACAAAGAATACACAGATAGTACCAGGGATAAGTCCAGCGTAGCATCACGGAGGTATTGTCATAAGTAAGATGTAGACAGTCAAGAAAGCAGAGAAATATCATACTTGGCTCACAGTATGTGGTAATGATGACTGACACAAAATCAATACTTGAAGTCTGGGAAACTTACAGAACTATGGACACTGCTGACTGAACGACTATCAGAGCAGAGACTAAATACTGTGTATACCCTACCATTGTCAAATGCCCGAGATGGGTGAGTTAACCAGCTGTCAGGGGAAAGTACGACAAAAGAGCAGCCGGATCTACAAGTCACATACCACCAAAAGACGAATAGCTTATTATGCACACAACAATCATTATTCTGCGCCCCAGAACAGGGCACGGCCGATTACACAACCACAAATATACCAAATGTAAAACAAGCGTGACAGCAATGCGCACATGTGAAAGGTTGTTCCAGAGAGAAGTACACATACTCCAGACTGCACCGTAAAGACACATCAAGGCACAGTTATTGATCATAAGGAACAACAGTGGAAAGTAAACTCTACGGACCAGAGAATGAATTAAAAACTACAGCGAAAGTCAAGCAAGAGACAAAGTTGCTGAAATAGACATCTAAGTTCAGGCGAACGAAAGAAGAAGAAGAAGAAGAAGAAGAAGAAGAAGAAGAAGAAGAAGAAGAAGAAGAAGAAAAAGAAGAAGAAAAAAGAAGAAGAAGAAGAAGAAGAAGAAGAAGAAAAAAAAAAAAGAAGAAGAAAAAAGAAGAAGAAGAAGACATTTCAAAATTCACTGTCATACAACAAAACATGTTCGATATATAATGTTACCAGTCCATCTCTCTCTCCCTCTCTCTCTCTCTCTCTCTCTCTCTCGCTCGCTCGCTCTCTCTCTCTCTCTCTCTCTCTCTCTCTCTCTCTCTCTCTCTCTCTCTCTGTGTGTGTGTGTGTGTGTGTGTTTTTTCATTTCCTAAATATCCAAGCGTTAATTAGAATAAATGAATGAACACACGACCCCTTTCATCATCCAAAAGGCAGCCTTTGCTTGGATAACCCTACATTGAAACCTCTTCTACACAGGATCACCGAAATGTGTATGACCACTCTACGATCGATGATGGAGCACAAGAAGTACAGAAAATACCTCCACCACATGAACAACAACAACTCCCTACCCTGGTACAACTACCTCCTGTGTATTGGCAGCGTCGGTAGTTTCGACAGCCTCCTTGAGTAGCAGGTAGTCTTTATATCCTAATAACATCCCTTTTACATGTTCAGTTGAAGATCGCCAAAACATTTACGCTAGTCTAACTTTGTTTATGAATGGCTGGATGTTAAAACTAAACTTGTCGACGGGATTAAGTAGTGGATTTTACGCCAACCTTCCTTAGTGCCGCTTATGACATGCACAGCTGGTTGCAGATTTACAATTATTTGCTTTCGTTTTGAAGCCAGGTAACATTTTGATTACCCTTGTATCAGGCTGTGTTAGTGATATTAGTTTTGGCTTACTGTTGCCTATGGACCAGTGGCTGTCCACATTCCTACAACCTCGACCCTTTATTACAGGTTCCTTCATGTTGTGGCGACCCCCAAACAATTATTTCCTTCTTAATTTCAACAAATATGTGTTTTCTGATGATCTTAGACGATCCCTGTGAAAGGTTCGTTCGACAAAATAAAAAAGGGCCGCGACCGGCAGGTTGAGAAACGTTGTTATAGCCAGTACTAAAATTTTATCAAACAATCAGGCTTTCAAGAAAACTAGTGCCATGACCCGCATTGTGATCTGACTGGCTCTCTTTAGCTTGATATATATATATATATATATAAGCTACCGCCCTCGACCGCCCCAGCGCCCCCAAGGGACGGTAGTATCCCTTTGAGAAACACGGGTCTAGTCACTACGCCATTGCACCTCCCGCTGCTAAAAGAAAGCGACAGATACTGTCGAGACTTCAAGTTTGAAGGGATATATCAGCGAAATAGTTTTGTCACATATTCTTCCAGGGGCCTAAAAATATGTATTACTCAAGGAAAAGAACTCAAGTAATTGGTAATCATTATTGGTTGTGGCGTTAGTTAGCAACAGGACGTTAAAAACTTGTTGAAAATACCCCATTTGACCTGCACGTTTCCGCATGAATGATATGTGGATAATTCACATCGATAATCTTGGCCATTTTGATTTTTCTTTTTTATAGTACGTGTATTTAAACACACACACAAACACACAGACACACACACAGACAAACAATACACACAAACGCGCACATACGCACGCTTCCGTGCACACACACAATGTTGATTTCGTCTTGGTCGTCAGATCAATTAAAATACAAAACTAGTTTAAGAGCCGCATTGTGAATAACCATATTATGCTCAATGCACATGGCAATTTTGCTTCAGTCAGTGGCATCTTCATTCATAACATAAGTAGGTTATTGTATGGCAGTGGTAAGGCGTGATTAGTTTGCACGTGTAAGCGCATGTGGGAGAAATAGAATAGACCCCGAACAAGTATGTCGTAAGAGTCGAGTAATAAGTGATGTGTTCTTAGAAGTCAGAATGCATCTGTCTTCATGACGAGGAACCAACAGCCTGCATACATATAGGTCAATCTGTATAAAAAAAATATGTGCTTTAAAACCCAATTTTTGAAACAAGACGAAAGTACAGAAGTAAATGAACAACCAGAACTTTCCGCCAGAGTTTACTGCCGGCAGGGTTCGTAACAGACCTTGAAACCGGGAAAAATCCGGGAAAGGCGACTTAGGCTTTCAAGGCCGGTAAACATATGAGAAGAGGATATTAAATGATGTTATGTATATATTGTGTTTAAGAGAGGTAAATCATTAATATATTCCTCTTGAATATTTTTGCAGGCGACATCTCACGCGGAGACGATGACAACAACTGTCACACAGTTAAATAATGATTTTGGGAGCTGGAAAGTAGCAGACGTCATTGCTAGCGACAAAAATAAGAAGAGCTCCACTCTTATAAAGACAGCCGATCTGGCCAAGTGTAACGTGCATATACCGTAATCCAATAATGCGGTTATCTTTGAGTTCTTGCTTTCCTGACCGCACGTTCTATGAAAGAAAAAGACAAAACAGCCAGTGGACACACGTACAAATTAGTTACTGGTCGTATTTAAAAGATAAAAATAATCATCAATAAGAGCTGTAGCAACAGAAGAAAATAATAAGCAACAAAAAGAGCCATATCAAAAGAGACATGTACACATCATTCTCCAAGGGATAGTTGACTGAACACATTGGCTTGAATCCTTGAAGTAAAGATAGACACTTCTTTGTTGGTACGTTTCAACCAGGAATGTGAACGTCAAAGAAACGCAGACAAACAAATTCACCAAGGCACACTTCAATAAAGTTTGCTTAGAAATTGCGTTTTTAAAATTTATTTGAGTTAGCAGATTTTTCTGCACGACATGAATAGTGCTTGAAAAAAAAAAAAAAAAAGATTAAATACACCTGTGTACTTTGAACCGGTTAAAATACACAGCAAAACAACAAAAAGCAGAAAGTATGCCTATTTGTGATCCAAACCTCTTCGGTCTGCTTCCTGGATGGTTTATTTCACGTGAGAGAAGCATTCAATTGCAAATCGCGTAACCCAGTTTGTGCCATCATCTGCAAAAGATGTTAAAAGGCATACACTTGGGAAACTGGTAGGAAGCTAGCAGATCACTTCTGTAAAAATCTTGCTAACATTCGCAATAAGGCTCTCAAACCTGTCTCCCTTCTGACCACCAAGGCAAAAACGATATCTCAATCACTGCTATTAAATCTTGCTCTGGTGATCAAACCAGCCGCTACTCATTAGAAAATTTTTTTATCCAAAGTTTTACAATTTGAAAGGCGACTAATTAAGACTGCTGAAATCAGATGTGTAGGGCCGAGCTGCGCAGATGTCGTAGCCTAGCTGTGAACAACAACAACACAGGCCACATAAAGACGAAAACATCAGAAGTATTGTCGGCACTTGCTTGTATGACAGGGTGGTTGCTAGTTCTCCTCATCTGTTGGAACAGCTGGAGATTCACATGGCATTCACAAGCGATGGCTTAACAGAATGGCTCAGACAAGTGCACATACACCGGGCACAAATGCCGTACACAATCCTCCAGTGTTGACGATGGAAGGCGTAACTAGGACAATTAAAAACAATGTTCTTTATTTTTCTTTTCTTCTTCTCCAACATTAAGAACCACTGAAGTTCACTGCTGCAGAAATAACCTTGCTGTTTTCTACCTGTAATAAACCTTCTATTTGCAGCTGGTGACGCCAAGTGTTTGTAGGTCTGTCTGGATATTATCTCTCCGCCGTTGTCATAGTCTGTCTGGTGGTGTGTATCCATTTAACTCTTATGTGTACGCAAATTATAACTAAAACAAAATTATTATTATTATTTTTTAAAAATATAGCAACAATAATAATAATAATAATCTTTTAAAAATTGTAGTTTTTCCTAGCCGTAAGTAACAGCAAATGGTACCGGCAGCCTTTTTTGGGCATAACCCTTTCAGCGCTGATGTAATAGACACTGTTATGAGTCCGCATCACGTAGCAGGTCCTTTGCAGAACGTCGCTCTCATCACGATCTGCCTAAAAGAAACTCGGTCCCTCGCCAGCTCTCGCGCCTCACGTACTTGTATACTCAAGGAGTCACTTATATCCTGTGCACATCTTTGTGTTGGTAGGCCCCTGCCTCTCCTTCCTGGTACCATGCCTTCCGCTATAATTTTGATATGACCAAAATATTTCAACTTCCGAGGCAGAATGCTGTTTATTAGCCAATCTTCCTCCATGTTCAGATCTTTCAAGATGTCAGTATTTCTGCTCTTCTTTATCCACGATATTCTGAGAATCTATCTATAGCATCTTAGCTCAAAAGCCCCTGTTCTCTGTTTTAAGTACCGGTGGCTTTTAAGCTTCTGAGCCCTAAGAATAATAATTATTATTTTAACAATAGTAATAAGCAGAAGCTGCAGCGAGTTAGCAGTCCGATACAGAGAATAATTGTGAGGCTACCTGGGAGGTTTTATCACCCCTAGGACATCAGAAGCTACATCCTGGATGGAGATTAGCCGGCTCTGTATCAGTTACAGAGGGCTGGCCCATGGATCATGCTGACATTTTTGACGCAGTTAGAGAGGTAGGACGTTCGGAGCAACATTTCCACATCTTTGCTAAGAATGCAAGAACTGGGAATAGAGATCAACACAGCCAGGCACGAGAAGCACACCGGACGCACCAGAAATCTTGTCATCCAACATAGCACTGAGACTATCAACCTCAGGACACTGATGTATATTTTGAAGGAGGAATCTGAGCACCCATGGATGTGTCCGGAGTGCCGTGAAGATAATCCAAATGATAACTCATTGAGCACTCTTGTTTGGGTTATTAATCCTTATAGCTTGAAGAATAATGCTAAAAGCAGTGATAAATAAAATCATACGTTGAAAACTCCTATCTGGCATACTACCTCGTCGGATTGTTATATCTGAAGGTCTGTTTTACAGACCGGTTTGCTGAACTTTCAAGTTTTACATCTGTGAAAGAACAAAGTAAAACTGTCCCGAAACTTAGTGCTCATTTTATAGTAAAGAAAAATATTAATGCTGGAACTGACAGACTCCATTATGAAGCAGTAAGAAAACGAAGCGATAAAGATGTTCCGGTATTTCCCATCAATGTTGAAATCTGGCACAAGAGCCATGGCTATAAAAACAACTGAGTTGGGGAAAAAACAGATAATAAATACAGCAGATATAATAGTTATCATTTTAACAATCTTTTTGTCTTTGCTGGCAATATGATCTGATTTTATTGTAGACTGCAAACGCCACTTGGCTTTACTGTTTAAACCAAATATTAATATAATAGTGCATATAACTACAATTACAAAAGCTAGATCTGTTAAGATAATATTATTCATAACAAATAACACTCGATCTATTTCCTCCCGGTCTTGACTAAATCCTAGTCCCAACAGAGTCCGGTTGACTTCGGGAAAGAACTTCCACTCAAGGCGACTGGTGTAATAAATCGGGGACTGGAGTGCAAAGACGACAGCATAGATAAGGACCATGACGATTGCTGTTCTCTTGGGAGTGATGAGCAGTTTTACCTTCAGAGGCATAGTGATGCAGACACATCTTTCGAAGGTGATGAACGCTGTGATCCATCCGGTGATTCTTAAGAG